TGTCATTTTGAGGGTTTCTGCAAGAAAGTAGAGATACATTAAAGGATTAAATTTTCTATGTTTCTGGCTTGGTGCCCATAGTTCAGTGGTTAGGGTGCCGGCCACATACACTGGGGCTGGCAGGTTCGAACCTGGCCCAGGCCTGCTAAAGAATGATGACAGCTGCAACCAAAAAAAACTCCAGCCAGGCGTTGTGGTAGTCTCAAAAAAATGAATAAATAAATAAATTCTCTGTATTTCACCAAAAGTCCCTCACTATCTTTTTATTTTAAAAGCAACCTATTAGATACTAGATAATCAGGTGTGGTAATTTCCCTGTATAATCAAAAGTAAGCAAACTCATGAACTCTGTGAGGTGGCAACACATTACATGATTTTAATTGTTTTCTTTTAAAAGGTAAATGCATGCACATGGAAAAATATATATAAATCATGTTTTTAAAAAAGCCGTGAAAAGTACACCCTCTCCACTCCAGTACCCAGTCCAGCAATTTTCCTCCCCAGGTGCCTGTTTCTCAGCCATTCTCTCCCCTCACCATAGTACTGTATGCACATTCTTCCCACCTCTTAACAGTATATCTTAAAGACTGTAATTCATTCCTTTTCACAAGTACATAGTAACCCATTATATGTTTGTACATGTGTGTATGTATTATAATTTACTTAACCAGTTCCACACTGATAAACATTTATTTCCTTCTTTTTTTGTTTCATTCTCTTGCCTCAGCCTCCCAAGCAGCTGGGACAAAAGGTCCCCAATACAATGCCTGGCTACTTTTTAGAGATGGGGGTCTCACACTTGCTCAGGCTGGTCTAGAACTAGTGAGCTCAGGCAATCCACCCACCTCAGGCTCCCAGAGTGCTAGGATTACAGTGTGAGCCATCACACCCAGCCTATTTACTTATTTAATTTTGTAGAGACAGGGACTCACTTTGTCCCCCAAGCTGGAGTGGTATGCCATGATCACATCTCATTGCAGCCTCAAACTCTTGGGCTCAAGCAATACTCTTGTCTCAGCCTCCTGAGTAGCTGGAACTTCAGGTGTGTGCCGCCACATGCAGTTAATTTTTCTTATTTTTTTTTTTCTTTTAGAAATGGGGTCTTGCTATGTTGCCCAGACTAGTCTCAAACGCCCACCTTCAAATGATCTTCCCTCCTCAGCCTTCCAAAGTGCTCAGATTATAGATGTGAGCCACCTGGTAGGCATTTGAACAGTTTCTTGGTTTTTGCAACAAAACAACGCAGCTATGAATATTGTTCATCCATCTTTATGTAGAAATACACACAGCTTTGTGCATGTATGAAAGAAATTCTAGAAGTAGAATCAGTGAGGCAAAGGACACATACACTTATAATTTACTAGCTATAGCCAAACTGCCCTCCAAGTAGTTGAACCTATTTATACTTTGAGTAACTATGAATGAGAGTCTTGTTTCCCCACACCATCTCTCACTCACCAGTGCGTTATCAAACAATTGTTTGCTTCACTCTGAATCTCACAGTAATTAAAATAGAAAAAAAAATTTTGTTGTTCCCAAATTTAATATGTGAAAACTCTAATTTTAGTGTAGTGTTTAAGGGCTATAAAGTGAGATTGAGGCTATAAGTGAAATTGAGCATCTTTTTATATCTTATAGAACCATTTATATTTTCTGTGATGTGTTTACTCATTCTTTATCTTTTGGGGATATTATCCTTTACTCTTTTTGGATAGTAGAATATTTCTCATTATTTCATAACATTCTTTCTTTATTCAGAAAATTAGCCCTGTGTCTATCACATATCTTGGAAAGTTTTCCCTACCAGTTTATCATCTGATTGATTTTGTCTATTTGCTTATGACACTTTTTGGCAAACTGAAAGTTACAATTTTATGTGGTCAAATTCATGTTTCCTTTTTTGCAATTTTGGGCTGGGGCCGGGTTTGAACCCACCACCTCAGGTATATGGGGCCAATGCCCTACTCCTTTGAGCCACAGGTGCCACCCAAATTCACGTTTTCTTTTATGGCTATCTCTGAAATCATAAAAAAAAGTTCTGATTTTCTTCTGCTATGTTATGATTTTTTAAATTTTACATTTACTTAGGTAATTTATTTGGAATTTGTTTTGAGGTAGAAGTGAGACAGTGGTCCAGTTTTTTCCCCAGCTGGCTTGGTAGCTGTCAATTGTACGTTAGCCTTCATACAAACCACAGCAAAATTTGCAAAAGTGTGAAAATGTCTTCATTTGATATAAACAGAAGGTTACTTGTCTCCTTGACTGTTAAGACCAGACAAATGACTCAAGACCATTTTGCAAGAAATTTAATTTGTGGGTGTAATCCAAGACCTGGCCACAGTTGGCAATCGTGTCTGATCCCAGCATGTCAAATTGAAGGAGGAAGAGAGGAATTCCTGAGAGACGCCTGAAGTCTAGAACCACACTGGAAATCCAAAGGCCTGAGTAAAGTTCAAGATACAGAAACCAAATCAGGAGAACTGGGGAACCAGGGAAGCAAAGAACAAATCCTGGACCAACAGGTGGGGTGGAGGGGACACAGGTGCAGAGCGAAGCATGAGGCCTGAGCACTTGGAGAGAGCTGGTCCTTTTGAAGGGGCCAGGTTGGAGAAGATTTGCATTTCTAAACAGCCCCTTGCAGTAATTCTTATTGGGGTGATGGACTTCAGACTAAGCTTTCACCTCCACAAGATGGTGGAGCAAGGAATCCTAATAGCTAGTAAATTGTAGCCTAGGCCTTAGAAATGTGGACCAAAATAAGCTTTCTGAGATAATTAAATATTGGGATTAGCTTAAAAATAAAATTATTTACCTAAATGATTTATTAACTCATACCTCCATGTAATGGTAATTGGTAAGCTAGTACCAATTCTTCTTCAAACACTTTCATTGAGTAATGCCAGGCATCTGCATAGAACTCTGCATGACAGAGAGAAGAATAAAGCCTCCAGGTGCTTATCTAGTTGGGGTACAATCAGATCAGAGACAAGGACAGCACAGTGGTCAGGACACAGCTGGGAAGTTCTTCATAGCATCTGGTATAACACAAGGTGATCAATTGCATCGTGTTGAAATCCTTTTTCTCTTTTTGCATAGGTTAAACTGACGTTTCTTTTGGAATGATGATTACTGCTACTTCACGTCTAGTTTCTCATAAGCGTCACGATGTCTTTCTGACAGAAATCTGAGGAGATCTAATGCCACTTGGCCTTCAGGGAGATTCTTAACCTGAGGTCTAGGGAGGAATAGGTTTCATAGTGTCCTTGAGCCTCTTAAAATTGGATGTGGATTGTGTGGGTTTGCTTTTTCTCTAGGTATAGGCTCACAGATTTCATTAGCATCTCAGGAGGAGGGCTCAGTAGCATGCTTGTAGTTACACATACCGTTACTTTGGAAGGATTGCTTGAGTTGGAGGTTAACCTGGGCAATATAGTGAGACACCCCCCTCCCATCTCAAAAACAAAACAAGAATCTCAAAGAAGGCTATAACCCAGGACGGTTAAAAATCAGTGACTCAGATTTTCCTTACCCTAATTAAAGGTCTTCTATCTTAAAGAAGGATGTTTTATAAAACATCCTAATCTGTCTCTAACCTAGACATGTGTTTAGTTACTTCCACCTGGCCCGTGTTAAGCCTCTGTCTTTCATCCTCCTTTTATTAAATAGTCTCCTCTCTCCCCTTCCAAAAACAGGGATAGTAATGGGCATCAGCCTCCTCCTTACTTCACTTATTTATGATTATTTGGCAACCCCATATAGGTGACCCTATTATTAATTGTAAAAATGGGAAGTGGTGCGGTGCCCATAGCACAGTGGTTATGGCACCACCCACATGCACTGAGGGTGGTGGGTTCGAACTCTGCCTGGGCCAGCTAAACAACAAGGACAACTACAACAAAAAAATAGCCAGGCATGGTGGTGGGCACCTGTAGTCCCAGCTACATGGGAGTCTGAAGCAAGAGAATCGCTTAAGCCCAAGAGTTGGAGGTTGCTGTGAGCTATGATGCCACAGCACTCTACTGAGGATGACATAGTGAAACTCTGTCTCAAAATAAATAAATAAATAAATATATATGTGACATCCTCAAGCAAAGTTGGAAATCCACATTTCCAAGATAATCTCTCATGCCTTTGGTCAAGTTTTTGGTTCAGAACTTTCAAGTTCAAAAATCCAGTTCAAATCACATTTATTTAGTGGACACTTTCTAATTGGAGGATGTCATACTCCATGTGGTGGGAGAGGGCAACAGAACAGGATAGACAATGAATTAAACCCAGTTCCTACTTTCATGTTAATGACACATTTGGAAAATAGATGAAATGCCGTGTGAATTGGAGAGAAGAGACTATTTCGTACTGGAGAATACAGAAGAAAAGTCCAAAAGACATTGTCGCAGGCTAGTATTTCTTATCATTGACAGTGGTGTAGTCTTGTTTATCCTCCATTTCCACATCTTCAAAATAAGGTGCCGGGCCCAGAAGCTGACAACCAGAAAAAAAATTCAAAAATAAGCATAGGAGAAAAATTAGCCTTTTATCATAGAATGACAAAGAAAAAGTAGAAGCAACTAGTAGAAGAAAAGTTGTACAAGAACATAACTCAGTAAGGGAGATACAATATTATTAATTGAATAAATATAAGAGAAATTGAAAGCTAACACTAATAGAGAATATTGTCATCATTGCTGTCATATCATTCATTGCTTTCTAAACCTGGCTTTTTAAGTAACCCAAGGCAATATGCATATTTTCCTAAATTTTAAGAAATAAAGAAGTTTTGCAAGAAATTTGTACAGACTGTAGGGTTTTCTAAAATGTAGATAGAGGGGTGTTTTTTTTTTCTTCTTACTAAATCATGATCAAGCATCTGCTGTTGATACACACATAGGAGTCATACCTGCAATGTGTGGAGTGCTTTTAGATCAATGCTCACAAAGCAGGTTCATGTTCATTATAAATCCTGCACAGTGCATTAGCATGGCTAATAATTTTCTTCCTCTGTATTCTTAGGATGAACCAAGACCTGCCAAACTTTTGAGACAGCTCACGGCTTAAAGGAAGGCTCATCTAAATAAAGGCCGGCTAAAGTGACATTGCAGGGATTTAATCCTTCTCTGGCTGCCCGTGTGACCAGAGGGCTGGTTTGCAAGTTTCTTCTTTCCTGGGGTCCAGCTTATTAGGTCTCCAGGGCAGCAGAACAGCAAGAGAAGCGCAAAATGAAGGTCAGAGATAAGCACCGGAGACAGGGACTTGGGGGGCTCTCGGGGGCTTTTACACACCAGAGTGCAAGATCCCCGGGACATCAAGGGAAATAGCAAACTGGAGCCTTTGACCTGGGTACAGCCACCTACCCCAGAGCATCAGACTACACGTTGTCGCCCGAAAATTCCTGGAATCCCATAGGGAAGGGGCTGTGGTAACTGGATGTGTGCCTCATTGCACGGTTTGAGCGGCAGGTTCAACGTAGGGGAAGGTGGGAAACGTCTCGAGTGAGGCAAGGGAGGAGAGCGGCTTGGGGCTGGGCCGGCCGGACCTGGCTGCCGCGCTCGCCCGGTGCGTCTCGCTGAAGCCCAGAGGGAGGCTGCTCCAGCTGTCGCGGACTCCGCGCGCTGGCTGTCCTCGGCTCGCACCCCGCAGCCACCGGGCCCCCTGCGCCCCTCTGCAACCTGCCCTCGACCCCTGGCTCCTGGCTGACATGGAGACGTGAGCCTGCGGGGGACGATGACTGCAGTGTGCGCGAATGGAGGCGGCCTGGTGAACCCCCACTACGCCAGGTGGGACCGGCGCGACAGCGTGGAAAGTGGCTGTCAGACGGAGTGCAGCAAGGAGGGTGAGGAGGGAGAGCCCCAGCAGCTGACGCCCTTCGAGAAGCTGACTCAGGACATGTCCCAAGATGAGAAGGTGATGAGGGACATCACGCTGGGGAAACGCATAGGCTTCTACCGAATTCGAGGGGAAATCGGAAGTGGAAACTTTTCCCAAGTCAAGCTCGGAATTCACTCCCTAACCAAAGGTAGGATCTGACTTCCTGAGGGTCATTCCGTGTGGAATCCGCGCCTAGTGTGGGGGCGGGATTGGGGGCTGGGCCAGGGAAACAAGTAAAGTGACCTCAGCTGAGCCCCTGCCAGCCTGAGTTCTTTGCCAGCTGCCTTCCGAGGTCAACCCAGTTAATTTAATAAAGAAAGAGATCAGTCTCTTTATTTCCAGTTTGCAGTAGGGAAACTGAGGTCCAGAGAAGTCGAATGTGGCTTCAGTAGTTCTATCTTCTCCAGTGATGCCTTCGGAAGCAAAGTGGAATGTGGCTTGTTTCCAAGGTAACTCGTATCCTGAGCCCATACTTAGAGCTTCTATATACAGGGTGGCCATAAAGTTCGTGTGCAATTTAAAATAATGTGTGATTTTAAAAATGCACACAAACTTTAAGGCCGCCTTGTATATATTTGAGTGTCAGTAACAATAGCACCCAAGAGACCTCCCAGGGCCATTCTGACTAGCAGGGTCCAGTTTCCCCTTGTAACCAGAGGCTGCTACTTCTATAATACTTGGGAGAAAGGGATTTGATCTTTCAGGATCTTTCCTTCTTGGGTCTGCCTGTCCTCGTTCTCACTGTTGGGAGGCTCCTCACTCCACACTTGCTTGGCTACCAGTCTCTCCAGGATTCTTCTGGCCTCAGGGAAGAAATATATGGAGAGCCCAGCACCCCTTTGCAGCTCCAGGTACTTGCACTTCCCCAAGGTACCTCTACTTAGCTGAAGCCTGGAGATTGTTATAAGAATTACAGGACAGAAAAAGAACTCAACATAATTTAGCAAGTTCCTAAAGCCCATAGGCTCTACCCTTGCCCGAGAATCCCTTCCTGATAGGATCTCTGCTTGGACTCAGCCTGCTACCATATATCTAGGTCTCTTTTTATATTAGAGTTGTCTTTTGTTTTCTTTTCTTCTTCAACTCACAATCCCATGCTCCTCCAATCCCTGAGCTGGGCCCTACACACATGCACACATACATGCACTGCCCTTCTTGGCCCACTCTGCCCACATGTACGCTTCCTAGCCCCTGGAGTTCCAAAGCCCCTTCCATCTTACTCTGAAGCCTGAGTGTCTGGGTTCATGTCTTCATGTCTTGGCTTCTCTACTTATTTACCTGCGTTCGTTAAAATACTTCTCTGAGCCTCAGATTCTTCATTTATAAAACATAGCCAATAACATAAGGTGTCATAAGGGATAATGAGCAGGTGCTCAATGAATGTTAGTTATTGGCATTATTTTGCAGAGTTGCTTTTAGCCGTGTCTTGCCTTTGTACATCAAAGATCAATTAAATTGGGTGGCGCCTGTGGCTCAAGGAGTAGGGTGCCAGCCCCATATGCTGCAGGTAGTGGGTTCAAGCCCAACCCCAGCCAAAAACTGCCAAAAAAAATCAATTAAATTGTTTTTATCAACAAAAATTCTCATCCATCTCCACACACAAACTGAGATCAATTCAGCTGCCTTTCCCAACACCATGGTTTTGAATTCTAACTGCACATCAGAGTTACTTGGGGGAATTTTAAAAACCAAAATCAATGCCCAGAATCTACCTCCAGAGCTATAATTGGTCTGGAGTTGGACTAGACAGGGATATCATTTGAAAACTCTCCAGGTGATTCTAATGGATTCTAATACAGAACTAACACTTGCCTACAGCAGTTTGCATATACAGCAGTTACCTTTTAAAATAGCAAAATGTTGCTATTTGTCACAAATGGATAACCCAGGTATCATTTATATTTTAAAATCAATTATGAGGTATTGTGTCAGGTTTCCATGCTACATTTAATGTTAAAATTTCATTTTCCTGGTTCAGCGCCTGTGGCTCAAGTGTCTAAGGCGCCAGCCACATACACCTAAGGTGGCTGGTTCAAATCCAGCCTGGGCCCACCAAACAACAATGATGGCTGCAACCAAAAAATAGCTGGGCGTTGTGGCGGGCGCCTGTGTCCCAGCTACTTGGGAGGCTGAGGTAAGAGACTCGCCTGAGCCCAGGAGTTGGATGTTGCTGTGAGCTGTGATGCCACGGTACTCTACCCAGGGGGACAGCTTGAGGCTCTGTCTCAAAAAAAAATTTTTTTTTCATTTCCCTTGGGATAATATTCATTTTTTATAATTCATTTAGGCCAATAATAAGTACTAAATTAGGGCAGTGCCTGTGACTCAGTAGGCAGGTCGCCAGCCCCATATACCGAGGGTGGTGGATTCAAACACTGCCCCAGCCAAATTGCAACAAAAAATAGCTGGGTGTTGTGGCAAGTGTCTAATCCCAGCTACTTGGGAGGCTAAGGCAAGAGAATCACCTAAGCCCAGGAGTTGGAGGTTGCTGTGAGCTGTGACACCACAGCACTCTACTGAGAGTGACGACTCTGTCTCAAAAATAAAAAAAAAAAGAAGTACTAAATTAGGCCTTACGGGTGGATATAAAGATGAAATAGATACAATCTCCATCCTCAAGGATAAGTGAGAAGAAAACAATACAAATGAATACCGTACAAGAAAGAATTTGAAAAATCATAGAGGAAAAAAGCTGTGGGTTTAATGGAAGAAGAGAGACTCTTCCACTTTAGGAATACTGAGTAAGCCTTTAAGTAGGGATATAATATGAGCTATACCTCAAAGAGGACTAGGATTTTGGATAGGTAGTAATTATAGGACAGAATGGGGCTTGGAGGTTAGCTAGGAGAAGACAATGAGCAAAAGTCAGGAGTTTGAGACCAGCCTGAGCAAGAACAAGCCCTCATCTCTACTAAAAGTAGAAAAAAAACTAGCCAGGCATCATGGTTGGGTATCTGTGCTCCCAGCTACTCAGGAGGCTGAGGCAGGAGGATTGCTTGAGCCCAAGAGTTTGAGGTTGCTGTGCTATGATGATGCCATGTCACTCTACCCAGGGCTACAGAGTAAGACTCTGCTTCCAAAAAAAGGGAAAAAAAATAGTGAGTAAAAGCATACATTTGGATGGCATCTGTGGCTCAAAAGGGTAGGGCACCGGCCCCATATGCCGGAGGTGGTGGGTTCAAACCCAGCCCTGGCCAAAAAGAAAAAAAAAACATACATGTGGGGAAATCATATCTAATATAATTTCTCCAAACACTAGAAGAGGTAGAAGAAAGAACTGAAAAACTAAGTTGAGGCTGAATCGTGGTGAACTTCGAATGTTGGCCTAAGGAGCTTGGATTATTTTTCTTAATAATGAAGAATCAATAACAAAGATATATGTACCAGAATGTTTATAGCAGCACAATTCATAATTGCTAAGTCATGGAAGAAGCCCAAGTGCCCATCGACCCACGAATGGATAAATAAATTGTGGTATATGTACATCATGGGCTATTATGTAGCCTTAAAGAAAGATGGAGACTTTACCTCTTTCATGTTTACATGGATGGAGCTGGAACATATTCTTCTTAGCAAAGTATCTCAAGAAGAAAAAGTATCCAATGTACTCTGTCTTACTATGAAACCAATTTATATCTTTCTTATATAACCCAATTATTGCCTGAGAAGAAAGAGAAAGGGGAGGAGGGGCGGGAGGAGGATGGGTGGAGGGAGAGTAACTGGTGGGACCACACCTACCGTGCATCTTACAAGGGTACATGTGAAATTTACTAGGTGTAGGATATCAATGTCTTAACACAATAACTAAGAACATGCCATGAAGGCTATGTTGACAAGTTTGATGAAACCATTTCAGATTGTGTGTAAAACTAGCACATTGTACCCCATAATTGCATTAATGTACACAGCTATGATTTAATAAAAAAAAATGAAGAATCATCAGGATTTTTGTGATTAAAACAGGGATTTTGGCAGATTAACCCAATAGTAGGGAGAATAAAGATTGGGAAGAGAGATACAGGAGGCAGGCAGATGTCAGGACGTGATGATGATAGTTTGACTAGGAAGAGAAGATGCTGAGTTAGGATGGTGGCCGTCAAAATGGAAAAGAGGAACTGGGTTACCAAAGAGAAGAATCTGGTATTGGTGTGTTAGAGTTCTCCAGAGAAACCAATATGTGTAGATATATGGGGGTAGGGAGTGAGAAGGAGAGGGAGAGATATTTAACAAGTGGTGTAGTTCTAGTCCAAAAGCCAAGAAGAGCCAGTGTTTCAGTTTGATTCTAAAGGCTGAAGAAGGCCAATGTCCCAGCTTAAAGCAGTCATGCAAAAGAAACTTCCTCTCATTCAGTACTTTTGTTCTGTGCACGGTTTCAACTGCTTGGGTGAGGACATTGGGGAGGACAATCTGCTTTACTCAGTCTACTATTTAATGTGAATTTCTTCTAGAAACATCTTCACAGACACACTCAGAAAAACGTTTGACCAAATATCTGGGCAGCACATGGCCCAGTCAAAGAGCAAACAAAATTAACCATCACGGTTAGTAATTGTTGGATATAAAATGGAAGATGAAAAGATGGACAAAGGCAACAAACTTGTCTTACTTGACTATGTGAACCAAAAGAAGAGTGATTCCTTTAATAGAAGTAGGAAAAGCATAAAGAGCAGATTTGGGAGGGAAAATGATAAGTGAAAACATTGACATCCTGGAGGAGCTGTCTACTGGGTATGCTCCATCAATGGCAGGAGTACGAGGTCAGACAGGGGTCTACATTGAAATGATCATGAAATTGATGGCAACCACCAAGGGGGATGGTGGAGAAGAGTGATGAGTACCCTTTTTATGCCTAAATACTATTTTACATCCTAGTTGGCATTTTATGTATGTGGAAGCAGGCATATGTTTACGGAGTGGTTTTAAGTATGGCAATGGGA